GGGATGGACAGATGGAAGGGTGGGCAGATATGGATGGGGGTGGATGGGTGTTTTGGGGAATGCATGGGTAGATGTGTATGTGTAACTCTTCTGCCAGCAGCAGAACAATGGGTGGGTTGGGGGTGGTGATGCATGCTTGGACAGGTGGATGGATGGGTGCGTACAGGGATAGATGGAGGAGTGGTTGGGGATGGGTGGGTGTCAATGGGGATCTATCCATTGATGTTGGTGACTTTAGTTCATGCCCTTCTCTTTCCCTCTCATTTGTTCTTCGATCCATCCTCTCTCAGCCCAACTCTCACTGAGGTTTGTGCCAGTTGATCTGGGCCGACCCCTCCAGGGAGGTGTGATGGCCACGGGGAACCTGGGAATGTGGGATTCTCTTTGCAGACATGGACGGTCCATTTGTGTGTCCCCAGCTCTCCTTCCCACAGCAGGATGCAGCTCTGTCCTGGGGCTGGTCTCTGGGGCTTCCTGCGCCCTCGTCCCACTAATCTTCTCTGCTGATCCCCTCTGGGCAGGAACTGCCCGGCCCCCCAAGGACCTGGTCAGCCACCCTAATCCAGCCATGCCCTAACCCGCCTCTTTGTTCCAGCCAAGGAGCCGCGGGTGCAGGAACTCACCTTCCAGCCCAGCCTGGGGGAGCTCTCGGCCTCTGACGTCACCCACAAATCCACTCTGCTCTCCTGGACCGTCCAGACCGGGGATTTTGACTCCTTCCTCCTCCAGTACAAGGACGCGGAGGGCAAACTCCAGGCGCTGCCCATGGACGGGGGATCCCGCACGGTCACTGTAACCAACCTGGCTCCCTCCCACAGATACAAGTTCAACCTCTACGGCATCTCCGGCCGCAAGCGCTTCGGCCCCGTCTCCACCGACATCGTCACAGGTCAGCGGCTGCTCCAGGGGTGCAGCTCCTTCCCCTCCCGCCCCCTTTGCTTTCCAGTGTGACATGGATGCCGAACACTGGCCCAGGACGTTCTGAAGAAGATGCTTCCAAGAGTCCTGCATCCACAACCAGATTGCTGGCCATTCAATGGATAGATAGGAGAAGGGATGGTCATGGGTGTACGTATGTATGTCCGTATGTATGCATAGACAGACAGACAGCTGGATCGGTGTGCATGGGGCAGGTTGAGTGAATGGAATGATGTGTATGGGAACTGATGGATGAAGAGATAGGTACATGGATGGGTGTCTAAAGGAGTGAATGGATGGATGGAGGGGATGGTCATCGATGAGTACATAGAGGAATGGATGTGTATGGGGATGGATGAACAGGCAGGTGTGCAGATATATATGGGGATGGATGAATGGATGGACAGAAGGCTCAGTAGACATTCATGGGGGCCGGTAGATGGACAGACCGAAGGGTGGGTAGATATGTATGGGGGTGGACGAATTGATGTAAAGACAGAAGGGTGGGTAGATATGTATGGGGGTGGATGGATGGATGGACAGATGGAGGGTGGGAAGATATATATGGGATGGATGGATGGATGGATGGATGGATGGATGGATGGACAGATGGAAGTGTGGGTAGATATGTATGGGGATGTATGGCGGGATGGACATACGGAAGGGTGGGCAGATATGTATGGGGGTGGATGGATGGATGGATGGACAGATGGAAGGGTGGGTAGATATGTATGGGGGTGGATGCATGGACGGACTGACGGAAGGGTGGGCAGATATGTATGGGGTGATGAATGGATGGACAGATGGAAGCC